CCACCAGAGGCCAGGTCACTGTATGAGTGAACTGAACATATCGGAGTTTCTTGCTGGCTGTTAATGTTACTGATTATAGTGGGCATAACAAACTAACATTGCTTTATGAACAGAATTCTTTTACTTAAAGCATTTCTTTCTTTCTTTTTATTTTTAAATGAAGGACAATATACGAAATTTGTATTTAGAATGTTTTCTGTTTATGTTTATCACACCTGTGACACTAATAAGTTATTATTGACTGATTCGTTGTTTACTACTTATCAACCTATTTTTGTAGGTTTAAATACGAAGCAAGAATTGTAAGAATTCCTTTGTTTTGCGAGTGAATATTGTATTAAGACATTTTTGGGGGATAATAACCCGACTGGAATTAAAAACTAGGCTCTCCGACTTCTCATTCAGAGACGTTCCAATCCATTGTACCACACGCACAACCAAACCGGGGGCTGTGTTTCAACGTAAAACGGTCGTAAGCTTCCTTAAAACGAGTTAGCTTCGCTTTCATAAAGTTTCTCTTCATTTTAAATAGTCAGCAGTGTGAAATTGAAATTGGGTTTTCGTTTTTTTTTTTTTTTTTTTTTTTTTTTTCATCACGAGTGTGTACAAAAATTTCCAATTAAAAATTTATTTTCCAAATATAAAATTTTTGGCATTTTTAAAACATTGGCACGCTCACTCATCGAACCGCCATTATAGATGAAAAATGTAAACAAATTTAAAAATAAGTATTTATACTACAGATGTGTTTCAAAGTCATTTAGTAAATTTAAGGATTAAATTAATTAACAGGATTCTATAAAAAGTAAGGTTTACTTTTTACTTAAAACTTTATAAAAATAAGATTTATTTGCGCACGGTAGCCTTTGGGGCCATAGGTCAAACAATATGTAATTGCAATCCTAACTTCAAAAACGCGCGAAAAATAAATAAAATAAAAAAAATGGAAAATACAGAATAACCAATATATTGGTATTTATGTTCAAAAATAATTTTACCTTGTATAACCAGTAGTTTATATTTTTTTACTTTTAGTCTACTCTACTCTGAGATTTTATGAAACATTTTATTTTTATAGTTAGGTTTTTTATTTTTTTTAAATGATAATTTTAATTTTTTAATTTTTTTTTTTTGTTTTGTTTTCGTACCTATTTGATGTCATAAAATAAAAATATCTAATTGCATTCAATGTGTTTGTTTCTTAATTATTCTGAATTTTAAGTTAGGAAGGATAATTTTGCAGTCGCGACGCGAATGAGTCCGCCGAACTCTTTATTGTCGATAACTCAAAAAAAAAAACAAAAAAAAAAAAAACGGTAAATTTTAGCAAAATTTCTTTGTTTTCGAATTAAGCATGTAAATTTACACCTAGAAACTGATTACACTACACTACACTACAGATTATTTAGGAAACGTAGAGCAGTAATTAATTTATTATTCTTTTTCGAACATCCATAAAAGTAAAACTAACCGTTGCTGAAATGAACTTTTTAAAAACTTTACATGTTTCTTTTTATTCTTCAACATGTCTTGCTTGATTTAATAAAAAAAATAATCGTGAGAACAGCAACGTGGTGAATTTCAAAAGCGCACAATTATTAAGTGTATTTTTTTTTTTTTTTTTTCATATCCAATCTGAAAGAAAATAAGGTTTTTTAAATTATGCAAGCACCAGCTGTTAAAATAATTATGTTTGGAGTTTTTAATTCTAATTATTTTTATAAGATTCCGGACTCATTTTCTGTATGTTTAAACATTTTTAATTTGATATTTCATGGACTTTTTACTTCAGGGATTTTCTAAAGTAAAAAAAAACTAAAAAAAAAAAATGAAAAAGTACCCACGGGATCGAAGGGGGGATAAAACAGACCAGTTTTCCAATAATATTTTTAACCTATTCAGCAAACAATTCATTCGTTAAGTACTGAAAATTCTGTTTGAATTAAATTAATTCCATGATTTGGGGTCTTTGGCAAATAAAACTTGGGAGGGGGTGGGGGAGCATCAGTGATAAAGAATATTTTAATACAGCGTTCAATAAAAAATTAAAAATGACTGGATTAAGATGTGAAGAGAGCAAAAAAAATTTTAAGAATGTGATTGTGATGTATGACACGTATAACAAGCTCCTGTTGATACGTTAAGTAGTTAACTTAAAAAAATATATAAATTAAGCAAATGCGCGTGTGTCTTATTAACGACTAAAAAGCCTTAAGTTAAAATTGATTTGTATCCTATGAGATTTAGGAAGAAAAAATAAAATTCATTATTCGGCAATTTAAAAAAAAAAATAACTGGCAAGTACATCCTTTTTTTTATGAAAAATTTAATTCTGGTAAAGAAAGTCAAGACTCAAGTCTAAAAATTCCTGCGCCTGCGTAATTAAAAGAATGCTATCTCTTCTGTTTCCTTTTAGTTTTTTTTGTAAGTGACAGTCAGATTGTAAGTAAATAATCTTGAATGATTTGGTAAGAAATCTTATTTTTTATTGTTAGATACTAATTTTACGAAGTCTATTGCTAAAGGAAGAGGAAATTTAAAAAAAAACAAAGCAAAAAAAACAAAACACAAGTATGTCTATCGTGCAAAATTAGTTGGTATTCCCTTGGACTTTTTTTTTGAAGTGATCATTGAAAAATGCCTAATTTATAAATCTTCCTAATTGTAGCCCTTCTGATTACTGGTATCCCCAAACGAACTTTATTTACCCTCTTTTTAACCACAACAAGCTGATAGTTTTTTGGGGTTTGTTTGCCGAAGAAAACATTCTAATTTTTTTTTCTTTTTCCTTTGAGTTTCCCCTCATCACCCGACTTTACACATTTTCTTTTAGGTTATTTTTTTCTAACCTAGTAAATTAATAAAAGCATGGAAATCAAATTAGTAATTACTCTAAATGATAAATGCAAACATGTTATCACTGCTTAATTCTATGTTACTTGTTTTTTGTATAATATTGATTTTTTTTTTCTCCATATTCCAAGACATTTTGATTTCGAAATAATTCTTTGCTGCGAGAAAAGTAAAAACAAAAAAACAAAAAGGCTATAAGAAAATAAACCGATTGAAAAGTAAAATCTAAAAATATAATTATTTACGATACTGTTATTTTATTTTACTAAAAAAAAAAATAATAATTTTCCTTGGTTTACACTACACTGTTTTTTTTTCTTACTCTTCTTAGCTTTAAAAAACCCAAGTAACATTCCTAATACTAATCTTTAATATTTCAGTTTTAACTTCCTGTATTTTATATATTATGTGAAAAGAAATAATCAATTTTTATTTTATTGATTGTTTTTTTTTTTTATTCCCGCTTGTACTGTAAACATAAACACTAAACTTTAAACAGTAAACACTCAAACAGTGACCCACCACGAATAGATTATTTTTAATGTGTCATATAGTAGTCGAGTAGTACCTATTATTATTATTATTATTATTATTATTATTATTATTATTTTGACATCATTGAAAATATTACCACTTAAAAAAAAAAAAAAAAAAAAAATGATGAACGTTTAAGTATTCATCTACACGCCTAAAGGAATATGGCACAATAATACCATGTGTAAAAGTTGGAAATCCCGAGATCCCTCGGCACTTCCTTATTGGATGGCATCAGAGATTGACTGTTCCTCATTCTCTTTTTATATTTTTGGGCAGTGGCAAAAGTGCTGCTTGGAGTGGGCATATAGAATTTTTTTTTTTTTTTTTTTTACACTGTTGGGTTCGCTGGTGGAGCCAAGTAAGTATTACTAGTTTATTTACTAAGCTTCGCTTAGTTTGGTTGGCTCAAGAGCAAAAATGTATATGGCGCCGAGTAAGTCTCCTACTCGGTAGTAAATAAATGATTTATTTTATTTTTAAACAATGATGGTTAACCAGAAATTTGTTAACGGTTACTCCTGAGATGCGCATATAAACATTTTTTTTACTGTTATTAATTTTGTATCAATTAGGACACTTTCATGCTGATAATTCCGTGGGTAGTGAAGTTCGTCTGTACGTTTTTTTTTTTTGTTTTTTTTTATCTTATTTTTTATTTTTATTTTCGAAATCTTGATTAAAAATTTTGTTTGCGCTGCCGGGTGTTCCAAAAAGTAGTATGGCAAATAGGATCATTTTTATCGGTAAAAAAAAAAAAAAACAAACAAGTTTTTTGAAAATTCTTGCAAGAATCAAATAATTGTCGGATTTTTTTTATTTATCTGTTACTTAATTTTATGAAATTTTGAGAATTTTAAATTCCAAGATCTTCGTATTTAGTTGAAAAAAAAAAAAATTAATTAGAAAAATTTAAGTTTTAAAAATAAAATAAATCTTAAAATTCTGTATTAATTTCAGCGGTTTTGATGATTTTTTTTAAGTGAAAAGGAAAACTATATTTACTAATCATAAATGAAAAAGCTTAATAATGCAAATCATCAAACACCAATATTTTTAAAATAATTTTACTTTTTTTTTTATCAGTGTAAAAACATTCCAATTTTTTAAGTTACAGGCAACCTTACATATCAGAAAATAAGTGATGTGATGACTATAAATAAAACCTTAGGTATTGTTTTTATTGTAGAGGTCTCTAAACTTACATAGCCAATTAATAAGAATATCATTTTTATACTCTTAGTCTTAGGCGAATGAATTTTATTTTTTATATCTTAGGGTAAGGCTTTTTCTTATCTTTTTTTTTCCTTTTAAGTTAAATGATACTTTCGGGTTGAATTCATTGCTTGTATTTTTTTTGATTATTTTCTTGCATGTTTTATAACAAAATATTTTATTGCAACCAATATGTATGTATATATATATATATATATATATATATATATATATATATATATATATTCTAAATTTAAGAAAATGTAATAAAAAAAAAAATTGGTAGTTATTGAATTGATGAGTTCTTGGCTTCAGTCACTTCTTTGTGAAACTCTCTTCTAGGCTCTTGCTTTCCTGTCAATTTTGATCTTCAAAAATTTGAAGGCTTATAGCCACATAGCATTGAAACACCATTTCCCATATGTTCACCTAAGTTAAGCAACATTGAGCTTGGTCAGTATCTAGATGAGTAACCACTTGGGAATACCAGGTGCTGTAAGCTTGGATGTCCAAGTGCTGTAAGGGATATTTGCCCTGAATTGTTAATCGGATAGCTGAGTCTCAATTTCTAGTTGATTTTGTTATAATCACATGCATAAATACCCTTGGGAACAATATGAATCCACCTCTGCTATGGATTAATTAGTAAAACTTGTATCACTAAATTATCCACCCCCCATTCGTAAAATTTAAAAATATTTTTACAGTTTTACCGAGTTATTTTTAGTACGTTTGGGGACAAATTTTCTGCATGTTCAAACTTGATTTTGCATAATTTTTTTTATTGAAATAACATCTTTGAGGAATTTTTCTTTATATAACAGCAAAAAAAAAAATTCTATCCTCTCCATCAAATTAAAGTACACAAGATATCAAGGAGGTAGGGGGTAAATCATACCCCCACACCAATATTTCCACAAAGTTTTTAATGAACTAACCTATTCAGTATACAATTCATTCATTAATGAATAAGTACTGAAAACTTTTGAATTAGGTAATTCCCTGATTTTTAAGAGAGAACAGTCTCTCCCACCAAGTTTTAAATTCCCTGTAGGTTGCTCAGATCGATATATACCTAATGAAAGCACAACAGCCAAAATGTCATAACAACAACCAAGATGAGGACAATAGTCTAAATGTAAATGCTGTTAAAAAAAACTAAAAAAAAAAAAAACTTTGTAGACTAAAGTTTTTCACTGATATAAATTGGAAAGATTATATCAAATCGATTGCTAGCTCTGCTGCTAGGAAGGTTGGTTCACTGTGTCGTGCTAGACAATTTTTCTTGCCATAATCTGTCTTACATATTTATGTGTTTATCATTCATCCATGATTAAAATATTACTGCCAAATATGGTCTGGTGATACTACTATTATATTTAAAGATCTTTGATAAAATCCAAAGAATCTGCAATTTTATTGGTCCTGGCCTGACATCTTCAGTCACTTTCCTGCCACTGTAATATAGCTTGTATAAATACTTTTATGGTAAATGTTATGATGAACTCTTCTCTCTGGTATCTAAACTTGATGAATTTAAGTGCAGTACTAGAATGCCGGCAAGATCAGCTCATTTTACAGTCAAAATGGTTAGATGTAACCTCAAGTTCTATGCTATCAGTTTATTTTCTCACACTTCTCACTTGTGGAACTTTTTTAGCTTCTTGCTTTTCAGTCAAGTTTGATCTTCAAAAATTTAAATGCCGTGTCAGTGGTTATCTTCTGTCCTCTTAAATTCTGTTTTTCTTAGATTTTTTTTCACACTTATTACCACCCCACCCCCCACCTTACATGTTAGTGGCTCTGCTGCCTTGCTTGGGATAAAATGATTAAAAAAAAAATTAAATCAAAATCCAATAATAATTATTTAGAATTAGTTGTTTAATAACCATGACAAAATTTACCTTGCACTTGATCATTTAGGGAAAACTTTTATACATGGAAATCTAAATTAACCTTAATCTTTTATTTAATCTATGGTGGTAGATTTTCTTGTTCTGCTTGTACATGTCTAGCAATATTTTGTTTTGTTCTCATTTAGTAAAATTCAGTTATCAATTGCTGTTTCCATTAGGACCAGGAATTGAACACAGTTACTACTTCACTAAATTCATAAATTAAGATGAGATATCACCAGACAATCTTCATTTGTAGATTTAATAAAGCTTTCAGGTCAAAATTCCCTAGAGTGACAGATACCTGAAGAAGACCAGAGGGCTCAACTGCCGAAACATTGTGCTAACAACCAAGATGGGAACATTAATCTGACTTATTTGGAGGATTATTTTAACTCTTTCTATATTGAATTTATTTTTTAATTTTATCAGTTTTAAAGTAACTTAAATTTAAATTGCATTTGTGATCTATCTACACCAGAATGACATTTTCTGGTAGGATTATGCTCAGATTATGATACATTGTTTTATTTGTTTTGATGGAAACCAAATATAATATATCCATATGTTGATTGTTTTTATATTTGTCATTTGTAGTATTAAACATAATTGTCTAGAAAATATAATACAATACAAATGTGGTTTTTGAATAACAAAATCAAAATGCTTAATTTTTAAGAATATCCCCCTCCCCCCAAAAAAAACAATGTTTTATTCTCTTGATTTTTATTACTTGAACTATTACGTTAGATAATAATCTAGAATGAGTAACAGTTGTTGGTGGCTATAAGTATATTCCAACTTAGTTTTCTGATAATACTTATATATACTTGAATTAGGACAAGAAATAAGTAAATAAATTTAAAAAGTACAAACTTATATTTCAAATAGTACATTAGACACAACAAAGGTCAATTGCCAAAGTGTGTTGCAGAATTAGTTTCAGTTGAAAGTAGTGTCAATTAAATAGTTGAAATTTGATAGACACTGCTTAGATATGACTGTCATAACTGTACCTGGATGCAGCACTTAAGTGATAGCCTCACAATGGGCCCAGGGGTGGTAATTTGGGCTAAAATGTCTATCTAAAAACAAAGCATGCAAAGTTGTATTTTATTGAAACTAGATAAAATTTCTGGATCGGTGCAAAAAAAAAAAAAAAAAATCAGCTCAATATTTTGTCTAGAACCAAAGTTATAGCAATTTCAATGTTGTGAATTTATAAAAAATTAGATGATACGCCATTTTCCATAGAATTTAATGAAAAATCTGTATTTTTTGGAAATGGCCAGTAAAATGCAATCTTTACTCAAATCCTTGTGCCTAAATCCTATTTTCTGTATCATAATATACCATATAGCTACATGAAAACCTTACCTGAACACATTTTACTCCCTCACTGACCCATACTGTACCCTAGAAGGACCATCCAGGGGTCAAAAGATGGCAATATTTGAATGAAAATTTGGCTGAAAATTGCACCTCTTCTTCAAATTATACTTAAAAAATGGTCTCCAGACATGGGTAATGTATATATTTTCTGATTCCTGTTCATATTTCCTACCTGAATCAATTGAAATAGTGCCAACAAATCTGAAACTGGAACAAAGTTGACAGAAGCAAAAGAGAAAAGAAACAATTGGGGTCCAATTTCAAAATTTTTGGAGTTTTAAACATTTTTCCAATTTGAATCACTGATCTTTTCAAGGTTGTCAAGACTTCCATGAAGTAAGTTTATTTGATTATATCTATCTTATAAACACAAAAAACTTATCTGAACACATTTCAGCCCCTTGCTGACCCATAGACACTAGAACCTTCCGGGGGTCAAAAAATGGCAATATTTTAGAGAAAATATGACTGAACATTGCACTTATCAAATCAGAACATATCAAATTGCTATGCAAGGAAAAAATCCTCAAGTTCATCTAAAGTAATAAGCATCATGAGTTTGAACTGTGTAATCTGTTGCTTTACAATTTTGTCCCAATCTATTTTGATGTAACACGAATAAGATCTTTCCAACAATCTATGGTGAACATCTTCAATTTGATTGTTGTTGTCGCATTTCCTACTGAGACATTCCAGATAGTTATGAATATCCTTATTGTTTGTCTCTAAGCCTTCCTCAGAATACCATTCCAATCTTTCCCCACCATTCATTTCAATCAATTAGGCACTATGCAGTATGGTTCCATGTAATGTGTGCTTCAGCAAAACCCATGGCAAGTTGTTGATGTTAAGCATTGTTTCCTTGCAGTGCTGATCAAATTTAACTTTGATCTTTCTCTTATACTAAACTATCCAGTGAGTAATGCTCAACTGTTTGTGCAGTTTTAATTCTTTGTGTTTTTTGCTGTGCTTCTTACTGGGCAGTTTGCCGATAACAGTAATCAATTCATCAGAATAGAATCGACAACCTTATTTCCCATCAGTTGACGTACCACTTTTACCCACTGCGGAATTGACATAATCTAAGTGCAGACCAGTTTTTTGTTTGATTAGTCTCTCACTTTATCTTTAGATTTGTCAAGGTGATTGCATAAACCAGCCTTCTCAACCCATTTTGTGTTGTCTGCATGACAACAATACAACATTTTCAAATAACACGTTGTTTCATTTATGTAGAAGTGGGTAATAGTTATGCAATGCTGGTCAGAATCAGAAACTTATTGTTGAGTGACACCGGCTCTAGTTCCATGTTTCCTGGCTTAATATGGATGTTTCTATCAATATCAAGGACTTCATTGAATATGTTCTGCATATCTGAACCTGCCCTGTCAATTTTGAAACCGTTTTGTATTTTGTTTGTGTCTGTTTAATCTTTGACCTTGGACTTACACTATGCAATCTGCACCTGCTAAGCCAGAAATCAATTTCTTGAACTTAAGTTCTTTTCATTGTACATGGCACACTAAGATTGTTATCACCAATATTAATTGATAAACAATTAATATTTAAATCATTCCGAGCATGATTTAGTAAAGCAAATAACTCAAATAACTTCTCAGAGAACTCAATGACTCTATCACTCATTTGTATTCATTTTTTCCTGTGAACAGAAAAATGAAAAATCAAATAGAACACACTCTTCAGCAACAATCTAACCCAAGAAATTTGCTCCTTAACACAACACATAAGACATCATCACTAATTATGGAAGATTTTCATATTCCAGGATCAAACTCCCCAAATATAGAATGAGGCCTCAGGCCCCTAATACATGAAGTTTTTCAATTTTCTTTATTTCATCCAATTTGACTTGCTCATACCTCTCTAAAAAGTTCTGAATGGCCTTTCTGTCATCAACGAAACTGAAATTAGAGCAATTTTTGTATTTTGGGGCTGTAATACCCAAAGACTGAGATCCTGTCCCAGACTCTCAAAAATATGGGTAAAAAAATGATTTTTCATATGAAAAAATTCAATTTTGTTGATTTCACAGATATCGTGTTGCCCATACCTTTCTGGAAAGTTCTTGATGGCCTTTCAACTTCAACCAAACCAAAACTAGAGGAATTTTCATGTTTTGGGACCATTATGCCCAAATATGGAAATCCAGTCTCAGACATCTCAAAATATGAAAAAAATTAATTTCACTGAAT